CACATCAATGCCTTATACACTTTTGGCTTATACAGTATCACATGTCAAATGTATCTCAATAAAAATAAATTTGGGGGGCACCTCCGTGGCTCATTTGGTTGAGCGGCTGCCCTCGGCTCAGGTGATGGTCCAAGGGTCCTGGGATCAAGCCCCGCATGTCCGAGGGTTCTGGGATCGAGCCCCGCATGAGGCTCCCTGCTCAGCGGGCAGCCTACTTCTCCCTCTCCCACTCCCCCTGCTTGTGCTCCCTCTCTCTCTGTGTCTCTATCTGTCAAATAAATAAATAAAATCTTTAAAAATAAATAAATAAATGTTTAAAGGTACATTAACCTACAATGAAATAAACTCAGTTAAAAGCTAAGGTAATAAATACTCCCTCAAACTCCCCCCAGAAAAACTCTAGTTGAACACATGAATGGCCAGGCCTTGGCAGACGGCCTTTGGAAAAGGCCAGGTTGCCTCTGGAAACAAAACTTCCACTTGTTGGGGGTCAGGACACCTGGGTCAGGGTCCTGACTCTGCCACTCACTTGTTTTGTGGCCTTGGGCAAGTCACTTCTCTCTGGGTTCAGTGTCCTCATTGTGAAATGCAGGCGTGAGATGCAGCGGGGCCCTAGGTAGGTTTGAAGAGGTATATGACATTTGTGTGTGTGTGTGTTTGTGTGTGTGTGTGTGTTCACATACCTGTGCACATTTCCCTAGCAAGAACATCCATATCTTTCGTCAGATTCTTAAAGGGATCTATGACCGCAAACAGTTCAGAACCACTAACCAAGATCCTTTTCGCCTCTGGGGGGGTCTATGGTCATAGATAACTAGAGAAAACAGGAAGTAATTCAACCCATAGCAGAGGGAGTTCAAGAACTTCCATCAGGGGTGTAGGATCCCACAATAGGAACACAAGGGAGGCTGCAGGACATGACCTCCTGGGGAAATCCTAAACTCAACGGGGCTCCTAGGCAATTGGGGGGAAGCCACAGCAAATGACCCGGGGGGCTGGTTTTTCAAGACAGGAGGCAGAAGGAGCCCAAAGTCTCCTCCTCTTGGCTCCTGCCACCAGCGGACAAGCACCCGCTTGTCTCGGGCTACGGCAGAAAGCGAGGAGGCGAGGCTGGCACCTGGAGATGCCCTCCAGGCCCCTTGGCACCCAGGTCAGAGAAGTCTTGGCGGGAATGCTCAGGAGGGGTGCCAAACCCCACCTTCCCTTCTCCCAAGGTCGGCTGGCTGATGTGTAGAACCAAAGAGAGCTCAGGACATAGGGCGATCATGCGCCCCTGAGGGGGCCACCTGAGGGGTGAAGAGCCTATACTTCCAAGCCCCAAAACTCCAGAGCTGGGGCTCTAAGGCCAGGGAGGCAAAGTGCACAGGTCTCCCCAGAGCAGGCATGAGCAGGCCACAAATTGGGGATGGAGGGGGAGAGCAGCGTGGGCCACAGAGCCCGGGAGGATAAAGCAGGCCGCCGGAGAGAAGAAGGCAGTGTGGTCTGAGCAGAGGAGAGCCTGCTTCAGGGACTAAGCTGGGGGCAGCCCTGTTGGGGGGGTGGGCAAGAGGGCAACGTGACCTGGATGGGAGGGGGCTGCCCCGAGGCGGGCAGAGCGGGCTGTGGGTGGAGGAAGCCATAGAAGCCTGTGGCCTGAGAAGAGAAGCTTAGCAGACCTGTTGGAGGAGGACAGGGGAACACGATTAGTGGCAGCAACGGTGACATGTCGGTGGCACAATGTCAGTGGGAGTGCCCTGGCTAGGAGCCCAGAGGCCAGAGTAACTTCTAAGCCCTGACTCCTGAGGGGAGCTGAGAGCCCAAGAGATGTTTATCTGCCACAAGAACGTGGTAAACGCCTCCTCCAACCGAGCCAGGGAGCGAGAGGCTGCCTGGCTGTTCTGTCCTGGGTCTCCTGAGAGCTTCGGTGTAAAGGGGGAGGGGGTGTGCCGGTGAGGGGAGAGAGCAGCCAGGGGCAGCATCCCCCACTGGAGCCAGGTCCAGGAGAGTAGCACGCAAAGGCCGCTGGGATGGGGTTTCATCCTGCAAACGAAGGAGGGGGTGAGTCATGGGTGAGCGCCAGGCCCTCTCAAGAGGCCGCTCAGAAACCAGCTCATCCGAATGCAGACAGACACTTGTCCCCATCCCTGTCCCTGTGGCTCTCACACACCCACGCACTCGCTCCTCTCCCCACTCCTCCCTTCTCCTTCATCACCCACATCCACTGCCCCTGGCTTCTTCCTCCATCTCAGCCCCGACTACCTGTCCCTATCCCTGTCCCTGTCCCTGTCTGGTGGCCCACTTGGTCCCTAGTCCACAGCCACCTGCATCACAAGCGCAGAGGTAGGGAGACAGAGAAAGCCAAGTGAAGAAAGGTCTGAGATAGGAACAGATGAGGGAGGGAGACTGTGAACTCACTTCCGCCTGAAACCTCCAAGGATAGAGCAGGGTTCTTGAGGCTCTGGGTCAGAGGAGAAGCCCTGATGACCTCTGGAAGAAGCCCTGATGACCTCTGGAAGGGCCTGACCTGAGGGTGTTGGGCCAGGTCACTTTCACTCTCCAGACCCTCTGCCCCCTTTGCCAGGACTGAGAAGCGATAGTCTGGGATGCCCAGCTGACACCCAGAGGCCTCACCCCACCCCGGGGCACTGAGCTAATTCAGGCTCCCATCGGAATCACACCTGGACCACCACCACAAGGTCGGGACAAGTTACTCTGCCCCACCAAGGCTGTCCCTCCTGGTACATTATGGTGCCAAACTCCGTGTGCCTCAGGTGGAGGGATGTAAGACCCCAGCGTAATCCAAACCCAGCGCAGCAAAACAAATCTGAGGAGGCTGGAAACTTCCCAGCCCCAGGCTGGCAGGTAGGTTGGGATTGAGTAGGTAGCCTAGAGCAAGGTTACCTAGTCCTACCTAGTGACCCCAAATGTCTCCTTGTCCTCCACTTCCTCCTTGGAGAAATCTAGCGCCCACATCTAGTGGTTCCCCGGCAGACAGAACAAACACCCACCTCCCAGCCTGGGCCAATCCCTAATCCTCTGGGTCTGCTGCTCACTTGCAAGGTGCCCAGACTTACCAGAAACAGAGAAAGAGGGGGCGGTGTCGCAGAGGGGGGGTCCAGCTCCCCAGATCATCTTTAGGTCAGTCCTTGCTCTGGTAGGGCTTTCCCGGGTTCAGAAGTCCCCCTCCCTCCTGCCTACAGAGGTGGGCCACAACCACCACAGCTACCCTGGGACCCACGGTCAACTCTGGACCAGCTCAGGGGAAATAAATTCTCTCAGAGCCTTTCTCCAGCATTCCCAGCCCGGCCCTAAAACTGACCTGAACCATTTGCCCTTATAAGTGACGGTCCTACATCCGTCTCTTCCAAGGACACAAGAGACTCAGGAGGGACCTCGGCTCAGCTCGGGCCTCCTCACCCGGTAGCGGCCCGACCCGCGCCTCCACCGCCTCCACCACCTCCACGCCCCGGGGCCACCGGCCCCGGCTGCGGGCTGACGGGCGTTTGCCGGGCGCGGCTCCCTACCTGTCTCCGGTGAGCCGGGCTCTGCCAGCCACCGCCACCCGCTCCCCCCGGCCGCCCCGCGGCGTCCTACCTGAAGCGGCAGCCGCCCGCTTTCGGCGCGGCCGGAGGCCCCGGGCTCCCAGCGCTCAACCCGCGCCGGGGCCGGGGGGCTCCCCGGGGACTGGGGGCCGCAGGCGGGCCCGGGCTCCAGCGCCTCGCAGCACACCAGGCTCACGGTGCAGCCCATCCGGCCGGGCGCCCGGCGGGCCGGGGGCGGGGACGCGGGCGCGGGGCGGGGAGCGGGGAGGGGGGTGTGTGGGGACCGGCCCACCCCCCGGCCCTGGCCAGCGCGCGGCCGGGGGGCGCCCCGCACGTCGGGAGGGGGCAAGCGGCCAGGCCCCCCGCGCGGCCCTGCCGGGAGCGTCCTGGACCCGCGCCGCCAGCCAGCAGGGGAGTGCGGGCCGGGCGAGGGGCCGGGACGCGGGCGCCCGGGCGCAGCCGGGGGCGGAGGAAACCCGAGGGGCGCGGGGAGGGGCTGCGGCGGCGGCGGCGGGGGCTCGCGGCCCGGGGCGGCGGCCCGGGGCGGCGGCCCGGGGCGGCGACCCGCAGAGTCTGGGAGCGCGAGAAAAAGACCGACGGCGCGACAGGGGAGGCAGGAAGCAGATAAGGAGAGAGATCGAGGAAGAGACCGCGGACGCGGGGACCCAGGGGACGGGGGCGGGGGGTTGGGGAACGGGGCCTCTGCGCGGGGACACCAAGTCCCAGAGAGGGAGAGACGCGCAGGAAGGGGCGGCGGGAGGGCAGAGCTGGGCTCCGGCACTGCGTGTGCCACTGTTTACAGGCGGTTGCTGAGGTCTGGAAAACCGGAGTCTGCGCGGGAAACTGCTCCTCTGTTCTCAGCCCCCAGGACCCGCCCTCGGGGCACCCCAGCCTAGAAAAACGGGGACCGGGAGGTGGAAAGACCCCAGCCTCAAGGAGGCGGAGCCCAGCCAGGGTGGGAGGGCCACGGGCCCAGGGACACCCAGCTGGCCGGGTCCTGGATCCAAGCCTTCGCAGTGGTTTCACTTCCATTCTTGGGGGAGAGGGGGCGGGTCGGGCAGTATGGCACTGGGGACCCCGAGACTAAGGTGGGGAGGAGGAGAGAGACACAGGGCGATGGGGAGGACAGGGTCCCCACCTGCACCAGACTTCCACCGAGAGACTGAAGTCTGGCCGAGGAGTGGGAGGAAGGGCAATCCCAGCCTCTTGGTGCCGCCTGGTGGGGACAAGGAAGAAACACAAGAGCAAGTGACCGTGGTAACAAGGGGAAGGTAACAAGGGAACTTTGCAGGGGGGCAATTGCTGCTGTCACTCAGAGTGAGCTGGTGTGTGGCCAAGGAGTGACTCTAGCACGTGGTCTGCCTGAAGGGTACCACCCCCCAGTTCACCCATTCTGCCCTGGCACCCTGGGCCCTGACTCTCCCCCCTCTCCCCCCACCCACCAAGTTCTGTGCTTCTCCTGCTCTGAGCAGGGTTTCCCCCTCCAGGGTGCTGGGCTGGGCCTGAGTCACTTCCCGGGCAGCATTCCGGGAAAGGCGGTGCAGGACCTGCAGTCACAAGGGACAGGTTCAGTCTGCAGTGCCCACTCTCCAGGCCTTCCCAGGTGAGGAGCAGGGAGGGGGTCTGGGGGAGGCTGGAGAAAGGGGGCAATGCCAGGAGTGGGGTGTGGGGCAGAGGCTCCTGGACAGAGAAGAGGGAGCTGAGGAGGCCCATCTAGGTGTTCATGGATTGTATAGAGTGGACCAGAAGGGGACGCAGAGACCCTCAGTCTGCCCTTTGGTCTACAGGTGGGGAAACTGATGCCCAGGAAAAGCAAAAGGTCACACAGTGAGTTAGTAGCAGGATCAGGATGGAGACCCAGGTCTCTTAACTCCCAGCTCAGTGTCTTCTGAACACCATCCCCATGCAACCTCCCTCATTCACCTTCTTTTCTCATTCCCTGCCCCTCCACTGTGTCCTCTGCTTCTTCCTTCCCACCCACCCCTGAGTTCCAGCAACTTTAGCCTGGGAGGCAGGACATGTGGGTTTCCCATGCCCGGCCTTTTCTCCAGGTTACATCAGGATAAGCCACCGGCCCCCAGCAGCCCCAGGGTTCCTCTCTGAGCCCCAGGACCCACTGAGGGAACAACAGGCTGCAGTTCCCCTGGGAGAGGACCACGGGATTAAAACCAGCTGCCCTGCTCCCACACATACCCAGTATTCTGGCACAGTCCCTGCTCTAGGGTCTCATTTTACTTCTACCTCCCTTTCCTTAAAGAACACACATTTTCCACTCAGCTGGGGGCCGGAAAGGATGAATGTGTGCCTCAAGGCAGATGACTGCTCCAACAAGCTCCCTGTGGGGAACAGGAGTGACTCCCCCTCAGCCCAGTGTCCTCACGCAGGAGCATGAACAGGGCCGCTCATGCCAAGTCGCCCCGTGTGAGGGCGCACAGTCCTGAGTTCGAACTCTAGCTTCTCAGCTTAGAGCTTTGTGGCATCGGATCAAAGACTTCTCTGTCTGTCTGAGCCCCCCTTTCATCTTGTATCGAATGGAGTTACAGACCTCCTAGACTATAATGGGGACTGAGTAAGACAATGATGTCAGGCATGGAGCACAGCGCCTGACACCCATCCCATTCATGGGGGCCACACGATCACGTTCCCACGCCAGCCTACAAGGAAGAGCTGGGGTGTTTATCCTACCTGTGAACTCACTGTGTGACCCTAGATATATCCGATTTCTGGCCCAGGCTGTGATTCTTCCCCTGGATAAGGAGCCATCCAGGAAGGGGCTCCTTTCCGGGTTGACCTCCCAGAACCACGAGGAATCCCATCACTCTGAAATCCTCATGGCGGAGGAGGGGGCCATCCTCACCAGGAACCTGAAAGGTGAGTGCGTCTGGAGAAATATTCTGGGCTTGAGTTGGGGGAGAAGGGAGGGGTCTTGGGAACCCCTCTGTCAGAGTCCCCACGACCTGGAGCCTGACGTCCACCATCCTCCCGCCCCCACCCCCGCCAGCTGCTGTCTCAGCCATCCTCCAGGGCTACGGGGCCCCGCAGCGGCCAGTGACAGATGCCAGTGCTGAGCTGCACACACTCTGTGGCTGCCTGGAGCTGCTCCTGCAGGTGACCCCCTCCCTGCCCTCCTCCCATCCGCCTCTCTCTGGGCCCAGATAGCCAGGAGGGTTTTCCCATATACTGAGGAAGAGCCACCGACTAGTTTCAGCACTCTCAGAGTCAACAAGCCCTTCCTGACATCTGACCTCACTCTTGGGGGTTGACACCATAGCCTAGGAAGTAAGTGGGGGCCCAGCTGGGGTCAGGTGGGGAGGGGTGGGGCAGGGCGGTCACCCGGCTCTGAGGACCGAAGTTTCAGAGGCAAGATATCCTCGGGCTGGCCTTCCTGCTGCTGGCGCTTTTACTTAGTACTTACCACGGGCCAGGCTAAGCCCTCCTCCTGTCCCACCTTATTACATTCTCATTCTAGCCCCTTGAGGTGCCTGATGACCCTGCCACCCCCACGGATGCACACATAGCCTGTGTGTGTCTCTGTGTGTGACGCACGTGTGGCGTGAGTGTACATATACGTAGGCGTGAGGTGTGTCTGGTGCGTGTGTCGATCTCCTGCCGGTCTACCCCTCATCTGCTGCACTCCAGTCACGTTGGACTCCTTGATCTTCCTCAAGCATGCCAGGAACTCGCCCACCTCAGGGCCTTTGCACTTGCGATGCCCTCTGCCTAGACTGCTCTTCCCTCAGAAATGTGGATGGCACAACTCATTTCCTTCAGATCTGGACTTGAGTCGCAGTTCCTTAGTGAAGTTCTCTCTAGTTACTCTAACCCAAATTTTTTCAGATTTGGGAGAAGGGGGAGAAGAGCACAAGCGGGGGAGCACAAGCAGGGGAGCGGTGGCAGAGGGAGAGGCAACAGAGGGAGAGGGGAGAACTGAGCAGGGAGCCTGATGTGGGGCTCCATCCCAGGACCCCATGATCATGACCTCAACGGAAGGTAGATGCTTAACCGACTGAGCCACCCAGGGACCCCTCAAATCCAAATTTTTAACACATGCACACACACCCTAAATCACACACACTCAGGCATACACTCCACACATACACGCGACACACTCACAGACATCACACACCACACACACACCACATACATACATGTGTGCACACACCACATACTTTCTGGTCTCCTTCCCTCCTTTATTTTTCTCCTTAGCAGTCAGTACTGCCATAACGTATGTTTTACTTATTCGATTTGTTCATTGTCTGTCTCCACTACCAAGTGTAAGCCCATGCGGGCAGCTTGTCCACTGCTGAATTCCCAGGGCACAGAACGAAGCCCGGCACAAAATAAGTGCTCCACAAGTGTTACTGGAGTGCATGACTAGAATACCAAAGGCTCAGAGAGGTCCAGCACCTTGCTCGAGGTCACACAGCCAGTAAGGGCCGAGCCAGGTGTGCCCACAGTAGCCCTGTCCTCTCTCTGCATGCTGGGATACAAGGTGGGTGCGGGGTGGGGGGGAAACATTTCTATGCTTTCCTGTCCCTCATCCCACTACCAGTTTGACCAGAAAGAGCAGAAGAGCTTCCTGAGGCCGCAGAAGGATTACTGGGACTTCCTCTGCGCCACCCTGTGGCGACAGCGGGGTAGCACGGAGCCGGCCCGCTTCATCCTCACCCAGGACAAGGTATCCAGGGCCAGGCGGCCCTGCCACCGGGCCCTTGACAGGGATGGCCTCCAGGGGCCCCCTTCCCACCCATCCCCACTCCTCTGACCACAGACTGCTCACCTGGTCCTCAGGTCTCGTTAGCCCTGCCCTCAGTATCCCTCCAATCACGTCTTTGCTCCCAAGACAGTACAAGCTCCCAGCTGGCCTCTGTGCTGGCTGAGTTCCCTCCGTTCTCATAGCACAGGGCCGTCCCCCCCCCCCCCCCTACTATTCACCCGCTGTGCACTCTGCAGTCAAAGACACCTCTGGCAAAAGGCCGTGCCTTCATCCGCTTCTGCCTGGCCCAGGGACAGCTGGCCGAGTCCCTGCAGCTCTGCCTCCTGAACCCAGAGGTCACCAGGTGGGGCTCATGGCGCATGCTCCTCCTGACTCCCCCTGAGCCCACTGTCCTCCCTGTGAAACGTGCCTCCCCCCCGCCCACCACACCCAGATGGATGGGTTAATGTCAAGGACAACTAAAACAAGAGCCATGAAGGGAAAGTCAATGAAGAAAGGGCAAAGGGAGTGGGGTGGTTAGAACATAGGAATCCCAGTAGCACCATGATACTCAAGCCACCTGCTCCCCGAGGGCCGCAACCCAGCCATGGGAATCATGCCATGTGGTGGACAACAGATTCTCAGGGGTCCAGGGGGCAGCAATACCACCAAAGCCAAAGGCCAAGGGTGCTGGTCGCCCTTACCACAGGGACTGGTATGGCCCCCGGAGCCCTCTGGTGTGCCCCGAGCTCCGGGAAGAGCTCCTGGACTCTCTCTACGCTCTCAATGGGGTGGCCTTCGACCTGGACCTGCAGTGGCCGAACCTGGATGAAGCCTGGCCCATGTTCTCAGAGTGAGTTGGGGGGAGGGAGGCCCCCTTTTTCTAGGGCCTTACTGCCGTTTGACCACCACCCACCCCAAGCAAGCTCCAAACTCGGCCTGCTAGCCTTCACTTCTTGCTGTCTGAGCCCCTGATGCCCCCCTCCCCAGACTTGTTTTCCCGGGGTAAGCCCCTCATGTCACGTGAGGCTGCACACAGTACACACTCTTAAGGAGCCGCTGGATGCTTGGGGTGGGCGGTCAGAAGGATGAGCCCCGGGTAGACGTGAGGATGAGTGGTGGGTGGGGCACAGGCAGGGGTAGAGAGAGCCGAATTGGCCGTGAGGGCGGGAGGGGTGCTGCGGTGCCTGGGTGGTTCGACTGCTACCAGAGAGAGGCCCCCAGCCAGCCCCACCCCACCCTTTATCCACAGGTCCTGTCACTCCAGTCCCAGACGGACCCAGGGAAGAAGACCCAAAAAGACCAAAGATTCCCCAAAGCAGGTGCCTCTGCCCAACTTCATTTCAAGTTGCCTGCTTTACATCTCTGTTGGGCCCCCCAGGATGAGCAGTAACCAAGCAGACAGACAGACAGACAGATGTCAAGGAGAGAAGGGGACCGTTGGCACCATCCGCGGGAGGCAGGGGACCCAGGGTCGGGGGAAGTGCTGTGCTAGGTAACTAGAAGCACATAGGAAGGCCTCCATCAAACAATGGGCAAACTTCTCAGTTCAGTTTGCCAAGGGAGCAACTGAAGAGCCAGGTTTCTGGGTTCAAATCCTAGCTCTGCCCCTAATAACCAAGGTCTTTGGCAAAGTACTTGTCTTGCCTTGAAGGTGATTGTGAAGGAGGGTTGAGACAGTTGAGACAGACCATGTGTAGCCCAGAGCAAGGCCCCAGTCCACGTGTTCAGGAAGTGGTGGCTTGTGGCTATTGTCATTCCCCAGTCTTGCTCGGCAACCCCTCAGCTTCCAGGTGCCAGGTACAGATACCACGAGGACTCAGCCTTTGGCCAGAAGGGGGAACCTCTCACAACACAGCCTGTTAAGTGAGGTGATGCAGACATGCACAGAACAACACGGGAACACACAGAAGGCTGCTTGAGAGAAGGGACTCTCGGCCGCTGTGGGTTTCTTTAAGATTTCACCACAACCCTGTGGGGCAGGTGTTATTACTCCCATTTCACAGGCAAGAAAACTGAAACACAGAGAACTTCAGGGGGCAGGATGGAGGAGAGGAGAGGGTGGGAAGAACTCGGAAACCAGATCAAGGGCGCAGGTCAGGGTGGGGAGGAAAGGAAAGAACACTGAGAGGAACCACTGCTCCCTGACCAGACAGGAACTCGGCCCCCGGATCCACCTGGGGTGCTGGTAACTGGGGGTGGTTTTGGGGGCTTCTCTGCAGATCCCAGCCACATATGGAGACCCCACAGGAGCCCAGCCAGAAGAGCCACACACTAGCCAAGCTGGTCTGCAAGCTGCGCCCAGGGAAGACGGGTTGGCTGGACTTCCCGGGGCCTGGCAACACAGGCATCTTCCCTTCGTGGAAAAGAAAAGAGAAGATCCCAAGAGCCTCAGGGCCCCACGGAGCACGTGGGAACCAGAGGGGAAGGAGCTTCAGCCAGCCCAGGAGAAGGGAGCCCCAAGAACTGGGGTCTGCCTGGAGAATTCAACCCCCAGTTGCCAGGGACAGGGGGAAGGGACCAACAGAGCTGCTCCAAAGGAGGTGATAGGGACAGAGGCTGAGGGAAGGGGGGTTCTGCCCTGTGCAGAGGGGACCCACAATGGGGAAACAGAGTGGGGTCGTGTCCACAGACTGCTGGCCTCCAGCCCCACAGGGACAATAGAGGACACAATGTCAGGGAGCTGGCAAGAGTGGGAGGCGTCTAGCGGTCCGCGGATGCCTAGGGTCCTACCGGACCTGGGAACAAAGGAAAACTCCACCCCAGAGAGACCGCAAGAGGAAAGAGGAGTGACCAGTGTGACCAGAAGGAAGGAGCCGGCAGAGGTGGCCTTGCAGGATGTGGTCAAGGTGAGAGCAGCTGAGCGCTGTACTTGCCTCTTCTCCTCCCTCAACCGGCCCGCAGGTGGGAGTCATCAGTGGTGATGGGGAGGGGCATCCTGTGCGGATCAATTCTGATTGGTCCGCACAGGATGATTATTCTTCGAGGGGGTCTTCTTGCTGCGAGCTCTCGCGGGGGCCACTTCATTCATCAGTCCTACGTGCCTGGCCCCTTGCGGGCACTTGAGTCTGAGACCCCTCCCCAGCAGCTCTCCGGGGCAGCCGCCTAGCGGCCCTTGTTGTACTTGCTTCTCCCGGAGATTACCAAGACTGATTTCAAGCTTTCCTTCGGCCTCCTCTCTAGCCGGGGTCTTCATGCCCCTTGAGCTCTGTAACTCTCATCCCTCGGCCAAGGAAGAAATGGCCCCAGGCTCACCCAGGGGCAGAGCCTGGCGTCTCAGCTCCCGGTGCTGTCCCCAGTCCCGCCCTCCACCCAAGGGCTGTCTCGCCGGGCCTGGGGTCTCCGGAGATGTCGTGAGGTCAGACCCGGAGCTGGCATCTCCGCCCTCCTCCCTCAGCCTCCCTTCCCCTTCCTTTACTTCCCACCCCCAAGAGCCTGAGACACGAGCTCCGGAAGACCAAGGAGCAGGCCCGGCACCAGGAGCAGCTGCTGAAGGAGCAGGAAGGGGAGCTGAAGACACTGCAGGAGCAGTTCAGCAGGTAACCTTGGCAACCGTCCGTGCAAACAGGCCTGGCCGAGGGGCCCCCAGGACCTGCGGCGCTCCCTGGCTCCTGCTCGCCCCCTCGTGGTCACGCCGGGAAGCGCCTTCTGAGTGGCTCCCGCGTGGGGCACAGGCTCAGGAGGGCGAGGTTTGCAGGACATAACTCCTGGGCTCCCTGGGGAGCTCCCACTGGCCCCCAGCCCTGCCGGCCCCTCCCTCGCTGGCCTCCCCGAGAGCCTGCAGGAGAGGTGAATGCCTCCTGCCCCTCCCTCCCCTCCCACGCTCCCCTCTGCCCCTTTGCTGCCGCTCTGCTCTTTTCAAGCCGGTCTCCTTCCCTGCTCTCCATCTTCCCTCCATATCCCCTCTCGTTTTCCTGCTTCCTGTTCCAGCCTCTCCTTCACCCTCGTGAGTCACAATCGTCATCGTAACTATCACGTACCGAGCACTTACTATGTCCCTGGCACCTTTCTAGGTGTTCCCTCCTAACCTATGAAGTAGGTTCTCTAAGAATCCCAATGTTATAGATGGGGCAACTGAGTCTCAAAGGTGCTGCACAATTCACCCAATGTCACTAGTTAGTAGAGGAGCTGAGGTCCACACCCCAGCAGCCAACTGCAGCACTGGAGGGCTTACACACGGGCCCTCAGGCCCTGTTTTGAGTGCCTGTGTTTATTTCAGTCCCTGCGCCTCTCCCGCTCGGCCCCCTCTCACCATCCAGCTTCTCCCACTTTCCATCATGCTATTAACCTCTGCACGTCTGAGTTTCTCTTTCAGAATTTTAAAAATATTTCCGCCATGCAAAGGTCTTCCTGGGTCTGACTTAGTCTCTGTGTCTGTCTCCCGTGGTCTCCGTGTGCCTCCGTGTGCCCACCGGGCTCTGTCTCTCACGTGTGGCTGAGGCCCACCCCGGGAGGTGCCAGCCCAAACCCCATCGGAGCCTGGGTAGTTGTGCTTCAGACTGAATCTCAGGCCGCTTGACAGACTCTCTGCTGAAAAGGCTGAGAGAGGCTGTGGGCCCAGAAACCAACCCCAAAAGGCACCCCTCCCCGGGCTTCTCCCACCGGATGCTCAGCTGAGCTTGGTGGTTTGGTCAGGAAAGATTCCTGTGACCCAGGCCCTAGGCGAACGCAGGGGCCTTGCCCACCCAGGAGCCTTCTCTGGGAATCACGATGGGCTGGAGGGAGCAACTGGGAGATCCCAAAGAGACCACCAGGCCCAGGCTGCTCCCTCAGCTAGGGGACCCCCTGTCTCACAGCCCACTATCCTGTCACCTGTCATCCCAGCCATGATCCCACAGACACTCAGATTGCCTACTCGGTGCCAGGCCTGTTGTAGCATATCAGAAATCCTCTTGCAGACAACACAGACCAAATCCCTATTCCTGGGGAACGTCCCTTCTAGTGGGGGAAAGCCAATGGTAAACATGATAAGCAAGTTAATTGCATAGTGTCAGATGTGACAAGTCCTAAGAAGGAAGAAAGTCAAGCAGAGAAAGGGGGTGGGAGTTTCAAGGGGTATAGGTTAAATATGGCAGCATGGCCAGGGAGGGCCTCCCTGAAAAAGTGATGCTTGATTGAGGACCTGAAGGAATTGAGGAATAAGCCATGTGCGTATGTGGTAGAAGAATGTTCCAGGCAGTGGAACAGCAAGAGCAAGGGCCCTGAAGTAGGAATGGCCGTAGCAGGTCATCAGAACATCACAGAGGCCCAGTGGAGTGAAGGAGGGAGAGGAGGGAGTGGCAAGTCAGTCAGGTAACAGGAGACCCTCACAGGTCATCCAGAGGACCTTCGCTTTGACTCAGAGTGAGATAGGAACCACTGAGAGTCCTGAGTAGAGGAGGGACAAGAACTGACTTTTGGCTTTAATGTTAAGTATGTTTGCCTTTTTTTTTTTTAAACAGTTCAGTGGGATTTTGTGTATTCATAAAATTGTTCCTCGATCACCACAAGGAACGTTTAGGACATTTTCATCACCCCCAAAGAGAAATCCTGTACCATGAGCAGTCACTGCCATTTTCTCCCAACCTCCCAGCCCTAGGCAAGCATTCATCTGTCCCCATAGACCTGCCTATTCTAGACTGATCTGTGCTCTCAGGGGCTGGAGGTGGGGCTGCTGCTCTGTGGGGCTAATCTGTAAGGAAGCAAGAGCGCTGATGAAGAAGGGGAGCACGGTCGAGCCCCCAGATGTTCTCTGGCAATGGAGGTGTAGAGAAGCTGCAGGATTCTGGAGCCACAGTGAGGCCGGGGTTCCTGGTGGGAGAGAGAAAGACAGGCACCGGGAATTACTCTTGTTTTCTGGCCTGACCAGCTCAGAGTCCAGAGTCCCCGCTGACAGTTTGCCATAGCAGGGCGGGCTTGTGGGGGGGAAAGTCAGGAGCTGGGGCGAGAGCATGTAAGTTTGAGACGCCAGTCGGAAGGGCAAGTGGAGCTGCTGGGCAGCGCGGAGGGTGTGGAGCTCAGAGGAGAGGCATGGGCTGGGGATCTGCTGGAAAGTCATAAGAACTCGGGCAGCAGGAACAGACGCTCCTGCAGCTAGGAGGACGGGGGATGTGCTCCCCTGGCACCTGGGGTCCAGGGAGCTTGGGAGGAATGTCATACTCGGGGGGGGGGGGGCTGTGGGCACCAAGCTGGGATGGGCTGTCTCACCACCGCCAGACAGAAGTGCTGTGGGGCCCACTGAGTCAGCCAGCAATAGTGCTGTCCCTCTACCGAGGCCGAGAGCGGGATGACAGCAGTGAGCAGAACAGGCAGTGTCTGCTCTCCGGGCCCCGCAGAGACAGACGACAATTCAACAAATAGAAATGGGATTATCAGCTAGTCACGGGGTCTGTGCGAAAACATCAGTCCAGGAACATGGATAGAGACAGGAGTGCTCCCCGAAGGGGGAGCTGTGGGGCTGGAGCAGAGGGACACTCCCACATGCTCTGGAAGGCTGGAGCAGAGTCTTGAGCGGGAAGTGGGGGGTCCCCTGGGCTTAGGATTGCTCTGTCTGTGGTGTGGAGAATAGAGTGAAGGTGGGCAGGGGCACGGCCCCTGGGTGCAGAGCCCCAGGCTAGACACACAGGGGAGACCCAGACGACCAGCCAAGCACCAGACCCCAGCAGACCAACCAGGGGCCAAGAAAATACACTTGGAACTGAGCTATGGTGCATGCAATAACCACTTCCCGGCTTTCTGGCCAAGCCACCTTGGGAAACTGGCCTTCCCTGTTTGGCCTCCAGTCCCTGATTTGCAAAAGGAGACGGTGCTAGAGTTCCTCCTACAGCTCCGATGCTCTCTGAGACCATCCTGCCAAGCAAGTGGCTTTCCTCTGCCCCGGGGTAAGACCTCAAAGCAAAAGTGATTAGATCAGGTGTGAGTGGAAGTGGTCTTCGGATGCGGAATTAGGCAAACATCACACTTCTCCCCCTCCTGCTCCCCAGTGAGCTTCTCTGGGGCACACCAGGGGCTCATAAGGACCCATCCTTTGCTCCCAGCCACTGCCTGCTCCACTCTGGTGCTATAAACTGCTGGTGACCAGGGCCCTGCCTGGATAAAAGTGTGGGGAGGCAGAAAGAGTTGATGGCCTGACAGGTCTGCTCCAGATTTCTGCTCCCTCCACTTATCAAACCTTATGGCCCTCAGCAAGTATGATTTCCTCTCTGAAGCTCTATTTTCTTTCCTGTAAAATGACAACTGTCTTACCTGTCCGTACGTTTGTGAAAATTAAATGAAGCCAGGCTATAAAACACCGAGCTCAGGGTCTGGCATGTAGTAGGTTTTCCATAGACTTGAATTCCTCCGTGTCCCCTCCTGCACCAGGAGTGTCTATCAACCCCCACTTGAAATACTTCAGTGGCTTTCCATTGCACTGAGGTCGAAGTCCACTCCTCTCGGGGCCAGCGAAGCAGAGATCAGGCCCTGACTCCTTCCCACCTCATCTCTTGCCCACCCCCACCTCCTGCCCTTCATGAAATTCCAACTTCCCTTGTCTTCTTTCAGTTCCTCAAAGAAGACAAGCTCTTGCCAACTTGCAGACCTTTGCATGTGCCTTTCACTGGCTCTACATGGCTGAATTCTCATCTTTTGGATCTGCTTAAAGGTCACCTCATCTTGGGAGCCTTTCCCAAGCACCCTCTCAAGTCTGTCCCCACCTCTCCTATATGCCGTTCATACCCTTAGCTTCACCGTGTCACTGGCTTATCACTTGCTTTGACCACTGCCCCAGACACACTCTAAGCTCCACCAAGAGCCATAGGCACTGCTCCTATGCCCCCTCTAACAGCCCCTGGCACACAGGAGGTGCTTAATAAATGTTCCCTCCCACCTCAAAGACACACTGTAATAATCATGGTGCTCACATCCGGGTCTGCACCAGCCTCAGCAAAGGCCCTGGGATCACTGTGCAAGTAAACTAGCTCGACGAAACGAAACACCAGTACTAAGTAAGGATACTGGAGACCAGAACGTTCATTAAAAGTCCAAACATGGCCCTGAGCACAAGAACAGCCTTCCTTAGGCTGCAGGGACTGGTGGTCTGCTGGAATTTCCATGGGTATCTGTAGTCGATTTGATCTCACAGCCCACCCAGCTTTCTTTCTAAGGCCTGCTACTCAGCAGTGTTGTAAAAATTCATAATTCAGTTCATTGTGAAGCCTCTAGCAAAGCCTCAAACCCATTGAAGCCCAGGGTGGGGCCACGCACGGACAGACACACGCACACACATCTGAGGTCACAGGATGTGTGGACCCGCTTTGCAACACCCTCCCATCTGAGCGATGGAGGGAAGGGCTGGGACCTTCTTACTTCCAGTCCAGCAGATTTCTTGGAACCTTCTAGGAAGCCACCAAAGACAAAAGGAAGAGGCCAGAACAGAGCTGAGGCAATGCCAAGCCCAAACTGAAACAAAAATTTACGAAAGCCATATGTTTAATATTGCCTTTTTTAATTGAAAAGACAATGTACCATAATTTTTCAAAATATTTTAATAACTAAAAATCACCCCAAGTCCTACACCACTAACCCCCCCCCAACCCAACAATTGTTCTCGGCTAGGCACAGCCCAACCAGCCTGGGGCCCCAGACACCAACAGTGTCCGTTTGGTGTGTGTGGTATGGTGTGTTGTGTGTGTGTGAGCATGTGTGGCACAGGAGGGTGTGGGGGTGTGGAGAATGTGTGGAGTATGTGTGTCTATGTGAGTGTGTGTGTGTGGTGTGAGTGTGTATATGTGCGGTGTGTATGGTGTGTGTGTGTGGCCCACGGTATGCATGTGTTCTGTCATACACATGTGGTATGTGTGTGTTATGTGGTATAGATGTGTTGTGAGTGTATTATGTGTATCTATGATGTGTTGCCCCACGTGTGTGGGTGTGCTACCAGCATGTAGTATATGATATGTGTATTATATGGTGTGTGTGTGATGTGTGTAGTATGTGTGGTGTATTGTGACTTGTGTGGTGTGTGTTGTGTGGCATAGTGTTCGTGTTGGGATTGTACACAATGTATGCGGTATGTGGTGTGTGTGTGTATGTGCGGTGTGGCACAGGGGGATTGTGAGAGGTGGGAGTACGTGTGTAGTGTGTGTATATATGTGAGCGTGTGTGTAGTTGACATGTGTGAGGCATGTACAGTGTGTGTGCACACCTCGGCTGTGGGAGGCACCACCAGCTTCCCCCAAGAGCCCCCCAGCAGGCAGAGGCCTGGCCTACCTCAGGCACAAACACAGAGAACTGAGTCCTCCTTCTGTGCCCAGGTGTCAGGAGGAGAAGGCCCAGCTGCAGACGGAGCTTGAACAGAAGCAGCAGGAGGCTGAGAGGAGGAACGCCATGTATGAGGAGGAGCTCGGAGGGCAGCGGGACCTGGTCCACGCCATGAAGATGAGGGTGCTGGAGCTGATTCAGTAAGGGCAGACATGGTGGGGCTGGGTGTAGAAGGGGGGATGGAGTGGGATGTGGAGACTGGGGAATGAAAATTCTGAACCTTTTCTGTATGCTAACTCATCTTTTGGCCACCCCAGCTGTTCTCCTCATTTTATAGATGAGAATACTAAAGGTCAGAGAGGCAGACTTCGCCACCAAGGACACACAGCATATAAATTACAGAGAGTCCTCTGGCTCTAAGGGACACCACCACTCCAATGCACCCGCACATACACACACCTACAAGGTTAGGAGAAAGGAAAGGAACCCACGGATAGAGAAGGAATTGAGAGAAGGGGGAGGTTAACTAAGAGCAAATCATATGTCCTATGCCTGACTGCCTGCTGGGCTTCCGCAGACCACCAGGCCTGTGGGCCATCCTGGGTCATCTGTCCTAGGTTCCAGAGGCTGGACTCACCAGGATCAATTCCAAACCACTAACACACTGGGGGATGGAGGAGTTGTGGAAAGCCTGGTTTCTGCCTTTCAGGCCAGTGGGGAGCTAATGTTATACTTTGACCCAGTTCAGGAAGCAGGGTACCACTGGACTCAGCTTCCATTAGAATTGGAAAGTCATGGAGAGATCATCTAGAGCTAAATCCTCTGGCACAAAATCCAAGTGATACTAAAGATGAGAGAAGGCAGAGGTTAACCTGGAAAGAACAAACCAAGAATTGAAGGAATGATCTCCTCCAAGGAGCTGTCAACTGGGAGAAAGGGGGACATACAATGTTAGCTTTATAGCTCACAAAAGAATTTGAGGTAGCCAACAATAAAAGACATACACACACACACACATACACATATATATAATTGTTATATATAATATATATGATTGTTAAAGAAAAATAGAGGAAATCAAAGAGAAAAAATATATGCTCCCAAGATATTAGGATTAGCGTTAGGGTTGAAATTTAACTCTGAGCACCTTGGCAGCAGAATATAAAATGGAAACACAGAAAGTTGACTAAATGTCACTAGGCATTCCAAGGAAATACGCCAGTGCATCAGGAGGGAAAAATGCTTTTCCTCATGTTAAAGAAACTTATCCCAAGATCCCAGGCTACACAGTACAATGTCCCTTGCAGAAGTGTCATGGAAAATCTGGCCCTAAGCCAAAAGAGGCAATGGAAAGCCCTAGATGCTGACTTCTGCATCAGGATGGTAGACTGACACAACGCATCACATATTTTCCTTCCCGAGATCTCACTAAAATGATCAGAAAGAAAGAAAGAGAGAGAAAGAGAAAGAAAGAAAGAAAACTTGTAACAGAGAGAAAGGTAGAGGAGCCAACAACAGAGAAGAGACTTCAGCTACTTTCCAGAAACTGGAAAATGGATGAAAAACTAGATACTGGATTTAGCCCAAGTTAGAACTTCAGGGCCCAGAAACACCAGGGATGTAGATGGCAGAAATGACATGGGAGACAGAAATCAGGAAAAAATAACTGATAAAGTCATTAGAAAGAGCAGTGTACCCTGCTTTCTGCCTGCCTCCCTGACTGCAGAATGTCAACACTGAGGGTTCTATCTCTGAGGCAAAAAATTAAAATGCCCTTCTCTAAAAAAAAGTCAGATGTCCCCAAATGAAAGGGCAGTGTGTTCTGACATTCGACAGTCCATGGGGCAAGTAGCTCCCTGCCCAGTCCTTCCTAAAGGGAAGCCACAAACCAACCAACCACCCTGTCCACTACTTGAGGCTCCAGCAGCTTGAACATGAAATGGTAACCAGAGCCCCAGATGTTTGAAAAGAATCTAGAACATAAAGGGGGGAGACAAAGATAAGCAAACCAAAAAAATCCATCTCCCATGAAACACGGTGCTGTGGAAAGTGACCATCCAAAGGTGAGAAATGTTCTTGGAAATTAAAAATATCTCTCAAATTTTTTTTTTAATTCATAAGGACTGGAAAAGGAAAAGGAGGCAGTCCCTCAGGGCATAGCTTACAGTGCATGAAGAGATGGAATACATGAGAGAAACAATTGCAAACATAAAGAATCAATCCAGGAGTCTCACTGTCCTCTCCAACTGACAAGAGTTCCAAAGAAAGACAAAATAAAATCAAGGATATTATCAGATAAAAAGCTGAGAGACTTTCCCAGCTCTTGGGGTCACAGGTCTCCAGATGTAGAGATGTCACTGAGTGATCAGCACAACAATCAAAAGGAAGGGAAATGCATGTTGAGATACAGTGTGTGAAATCTCAGTAAAATAAAGATGAGGACAATATACTCAGACACATCACTTATAAAAGAACTAGGACACAGAAAAACATGTTAGGGGTCAATGGCACCTGGGTAGCTCAGTAGGTTAAGCAGCTCTTCATCTTGGCTCAGGTCTTGATCTCAGGGTCGAGTTCAAGCCCTGCATTAGGCTTCACACTACGTGTGAAGTCCACTTAAAAAATAATAATAATCAATGCAGTCATACTTTCAAGTTCTGAGGAAAGATAGCTTTTGCCCCGGAATTCTAGGTCCAGCCAAACTATGAAGCCAATAGGAAAGGTGATGCAGGAAAGACATTTTTAAGAAAGACGGGTCACAGAAAATGTACCTCCCACACAGCCTTTCCTGGAAAGTTAATTAAGGATGTACTTCAGAAAAACAAGGAAGTAAGCCAAGAAAGGAGAAGATGTGGAATTTAGGGAACAGTCATGGTAGCCCAGGAGAGAAGAAAAGGGAATCCCCAAGATGACAAAAGGACAGCAAGCCCAGGTAACAGTCAGTGCAGACTTCAGCAGAAGTATTGAGGACCCAGGAGGAAAGTCTCTGGGGAGAAAGAGAATCAACAGAATAACTGATATGATGAACAATTTGTTGGGGAGAGAGAATAATTAGGCTATGTGAAAGGTAAGTCATGCAAGAAGCAAAGGAAGGCAATTGCAAAATCCTGGAAAAACAGAAAATTTCCAAGAAAGGAAATGTGTAGAACACATCTTAGCTCTCCTTGAAGCAATATATTTATATGTTGTCTAATACAGTAAATACTATTTATTGATTTTTTTTAATGTTGGAATTAACCTAAAGACCAAGCACAGGAAACAACTGCAATTACAGAACAAATGTCCATTAGCACTTAAACAATATTACATATAGAATAGAATCCGATAGAATTTCTATGAGGATGGAAATGTTTGCTATCTGCCCTGTCAAATATGGTAGCTACCACTCACATGTAGCAACTGAGTACTCCAAATGGGTTTTGTGTGACTGAAGAACTGAAGTTCTACTTGTGGTTCATTTTAGTCAAATTAGATATAGATTAAAGTAGCCACATGGGGCTAGCAGCTACCATATTGGATGTTGAAGGAAAAGATGAGTAGGAGAGGAGAAGAGGAGTCCCCCCGAAGAGGAAGGTACGCTGGCATCATCATATTACAGAATGGCAGTCCGGATGCTATCTGTGCTTCATAGGATGAGTGAGAAATAAATGTGTGAGCATATTCTGGAAAACTACAATCGTGAGAGAGGACCCAGAAATAGGGGTATTCTGGAGAGGAAGGAGATGGAGTCAGTGGGGATGGTACTAACTAAGCTAACCCCCTGACATCAAGGTAAGGTGTTCGTTCTCTCTTGATGTGTCAAGGAGAGAGGATATAAGCATATTACTTAAGTGTGGAAGTAATATCAAGGAGAAAAAGCTAAAAGTATAAGAAGTGGTTTGTCACTGAGATTGGAGGGAGTAGGGAGGGTGTCTGTTTCCTTCTGGTATAAGTTCTTCTGTACTATTGGATTTTTAAGTCATGTGTATGTATCATTTTGATTAAAAAATATATTTTTTTTCTGAAGAGGGAAACAGAGGGGGAGGGGCAGAGGGAAAGAGAAAGAGAATCTGAAGCAGGCTCCACACCCCGCTCAGAGCCAGGGGCGGGGCTCAATCTCGTAAAACCCTGAGACCGTGACCTGAGCCAAGAGTGGGAGCTTAACTTACTGGTGAACACAGGTGCCCCCTACACATCCTTAAAAAAAAAAAAACAAACAGGGACGCCTGTGTGGCTCAGTGGGTTAAAGCCTCTTCCTTCCGCTCAGGTCATGATCCCAGGGTCCTGGGATCAAGCTCCTCATTGGGCTCTCTGCTCAGTGGGGAGCTTGCTTCCTCCTCTCTCTCTGCCTGCTTCTCTGCCTACCTGTTATCTCTGTCAAATAAATAAATAAAATCTTAAAAAAAAGAAAAAACAACCCAGTAAGGATAGTTTTGCCGGAGTATAGCATACATAACCAGAAGGATTTGTATCAAGTGCCAAATGAAAGCTAAGAGCATTATAAGAAACTGCTGGGGTCTCCTTGGAGGAGGTGGGCTATGAAGGTTATGTGGGGCTAGGGGGACCCGGGTGTCACCATCTATCTTCCCAAAGACTACAGACTCCCTCATCTCTTGTGTGTGTGTGTCTTTCATGGTCTCTTCATTTCTGTCTTTCTCTATCACTGTCTCTGTCGCTCCATCTTTCTCTGTATTTGTCTCTCCCTCTCTGTATGTGTCCCTGATTGTCTCTGCATCTTGTTCTCTTGGTCTTTCTCTCTCTCTCTCTACATTTATCTCACTACCTACCTCTCTTTATCTCCCTCTCCATCTCCCTGACTTCCTTTCTCTCTGACCATCTCTCTTTCTGTCCCTCTGTGTCTCCCTCTCATTTTCTATGTCTCTGTCTTTCTGCTTTACTGTCTCTCTCTTTTTTTCCCTTTGTATGTGTCTCTGGATGACTCTCTCTCCCTCTCTATCTCTTCTTGGTCTCCATGTTTCTCCTTCTCCCCGTCTTGGTCTCTCCATCTTCCCATCGCTTTGTGTGTCCCCCCACCCCCCCCCCCCCCCCAGAGAGAAGGGTGAGCTGTGGCAGAAAGCCCAGCGGCCGTCTTCCACCGCCCCCGGATGCTGTGTGGACTGCAATAAGATCTTTGGCCGACTGTCTCGGCGATACCCGTGCAGGTAACTGAGAGGGCACAGAAGTCTTGCTCTGAGACAAGTGCTGTTTCCACCAGCCCACAGCACTCTGCCCCTGCTCAGAAGGGAGGGACCCAGGAACTGGGGGTTTATGAAAGCCACTTAACACTGGCCACTCACTTTACATAACAGTTAGCGTGGACATGAACCAGAACAGTGGGAAGGGGTCAGATAAGCAACAGTGTCTGGAAGATGGGACTGTGCAATCCTTCCGAGAAGAGACAGATGAAGAGGCTTCTGGTCTGGGAGGAGATCTGAACAAAGGAAGCTACTCCCCTCACCTTCTTCTGGGAACAGGGTGGCAGGACTAACCATGGGAGGGGGCGAGCAGGAGAACCTGTCCTTTGGATTTAAAGGACTCTGGAGGGGGTGGAGCATTGAGACACCTTTTAGGAAAGGGGAGGTCTCCTTGGACAGACCCAGGGCTGCTCTGCTGGGAGCTAGGAGCAAACCCGATGCTCCCCTCCCATGTACACACCCAGGAGCTCCCTACTCTTCCTTCCTCTGCTCCCAGGCTCTGCGGAGGCCTGGTTTGCCATGCCTGCTCTGTGGATTACAAGAAGAGAGAACACCGCTGCCCACCCTGCTCTGAGAAGGGAGAAGCTCAATCCAGCTGACGGGCTCACCCAGGACGGGCCACCCACCCCACCCCGGTCACCTCCCTCCCCTCCACCCTTTCCATCCCTCTTGTCTGACCAGTCCGGCCTTCTAGAAGTTGATGACCTAAGACAGACAGCCCTTGTGCGCACCCTCAGTGTGAGAGCGGAAGCAGCCGGCTGGCTCGCAGGAGGCAGGAGTGAGGAGGCCTCCTGGAGCCCTGCATCCCCCACCCATGAGTGGGACAGCTTGACAAAGCCCACAGCTGTCCGTGCTTCTCCTGTCCGTGAGGGCGCCAGCCATTCGCCTCCCTGAAGGCCCTCCATGCTCAGAACATCCTGGACCGAGAAGAAGACGCGTGGGCCCTGACATTTCTGGGCAGCCCCACCTCGCCCAGCCCACTGCTCACCACACTCAGCAGTGTCCTGTCTGGAGTCGGCTTTGAAGGTCTGCTTTGGCTAGGTTTCATTTTTTACAGCTTTCTTGAGATCCTATGGACGTTGAACACACTTCACACACATTGCACACTGGATGGGTTTTGACTTTAATATACACCCATGAAACCATCACCACATTCACACTCATGAACACATCCATCAGCCCCAGACTTTCTTCACGCCCTTTGTAATCTCTCCCTCGCCCTCCCACTCCCAAGGCAAACCCTTACCTACTTTCTACCACTAGACACTGGTTTTCCAAAATTTTATATAAACAGAATCATATGGCATGCATTCTCTACGGTCTGCCTTCTTTCACTCGGCATCCTTATTTTGGGGTTTATCCTTATCTGTGGGGTTTACATGTTCAGCTGTTGCCAGACATTTGGATTGTGTCCAGTTTGAGGCTGTTACACATATATTTCCTGCGATCAGCTGCATACAAATCTTTGTACAGACATCGGCTTTTATTTCACTTGGGGAAACACCCAGCAATGATATGGCCATGTCCTATGATGGGTATATGTTTAACTTTTAAGAAACCACTGAGTTGTTTCCCAAAGAAGTTGTGCGTCGTCCCCTCCCACCAGCGGGGCCTGGGAGTCCCAGATGCTCCCCGGAGCCCAGACACAGGGCTTACATGGGCCTCCCTCCGTCTCCTTTCCTCCCAACCACTGTGGTCGGTCCCAAGTGGGGAGTGCCTGGAGGGAGGCGCAGAGACCAGGTGACTCTCTTAGCACAGTGCTCAATCAGCTACATTTTTTAAAAAAGATTTTATTTATTTATTTGACAGAGATCACAAGTAGGCAGAGAGGCAGGCAGAGAGAGAGGAAGGGAAGCAGGCTCCCTGCTGAGCAGAGTCCCCCCCCGCCCCCATGTGGGGCTCCATCCCAGGACCCTGGAATCGTGACCTGAGCCGAAAGCAGAAGCTTTAACCCACTGAGCCACCCAGGCACCCCAGTGAGCTACATTTTAATAAAGAGGGTTGACAAGGGCTTGTGTAGTTCCGCAGTACAAGGTCATATCCCTGACTGCCTGAGAAGTCTTCAGTAAATTCCGTGTTAATACCATTTCAGAGGAAGCGTGGGCCCCACTCTCCATCAAGGGGATTGGCTGCCCTATCTGAGCTCTGGGGCAGACTCTGCCCCAAGCAGGCCTGCGTGCTCTTATCCCCATCCCCTCCGCCTCACACAGGCAGCCAGAGCTTCTGCAAGGGTTGGGCAACCCTGTGGCTCCGGCCAGTGCCTGTGCACCGCCTTTTGGGGTCAAGGCCACCCAGAGTTGCCTCCCATTACCATTGCATGGAGCAAGAGTTTTGCAATAGCAGTTCCTGCCCTGGAGAGCTGGTGAGAACTTCTCCTTAGCAAAGCCTGCAACAAGGTGAGGGGCAGGGAATGGAGTGACCGGAGGGGGACAGGGCCGGGGCTCTGGAGCAATCAGGGCAACAGAATCAGCCCTACTCAAAGGGGCAGCAGTCCCTTCTTGCAGGTCTGATTTGCTCAGAAATTTGTATTAGGGCAAAGTTCATATTCTAGTGGAAGACATCATGTTCTAGTGGAACTCCAGTGTTGAGTTCATGTCTGCCTTGAGAACAGAGGGAGAGGAGAGACCTGGCAGAGACCTCTTATGTTCAAAGAGGAGGCAAAGAGTTCTGCTCCTGGACCAGAACTCATCTGAAGGAAATCAGGGGCTGGGAATGGGGAAAATGGACCTTCTCCCCATTTTGGGAGGGATGGAAGGACAGTGCCGAGGTCCAGCCTCTAGCTCCACACTGCCCCCACCCCAAAGAGTCCCCACCAAGTCCAAGGAAGAGTGCAAAAGCTCCAAAGACATTAGAGGACTGGGGACCCCTGGCAGAAGCTTCCACAGTCACCATAGCCACCCCTGGTGCTGCATGGGGACATGCATGGAACATGGGAGTGACTCCAGAGCACATGTCTAGCCCAGCGGCACCCAGAAGAGCACTGGGGGGGGGCACTTGCAACAGACTCCCTCAAATTCCTGGGAGAATTTATGGGGGGGACAGTGAAGCCTGCATGAGTGCAGAGACTGTCAGCCAGTGTGATTTTGGTCACAGCCCTTGATGGGACCTCGGTGTTCCCAGGCTGGGGATACCCTGGAAAACTTGGGCAACGTCATTATTTCTTGAAACAAGATGTCACTCAGATCATCCAATGTACACGAGTTCCCCCACTTTGTCAAATCGTTCCATGCTCAACAGAATGCTATGAAGCCCCCAGGATATGCCAGAAACACTGTGGTTGGTTTGGGGATTCAGAGATTTTTATCATAGATTCGTCCTATTTATGTATACTATTTATATATTTTTCTATATTGTGTACCATCGATTTATATATTATTTTATGTGTTTTTATGTATTACATATAAAAGATATAAAATCCCTACTTTTAAGAACGTCACAGTGGGGAGGGGGGAGCAGCTGAGATGATTACCAATCCCATAACTGAAGCCATGATAGAGATAAGCCCCCGGGGAGGGGGGCGGGTGCAGACGGCACAGAGAGAGGGCTGCTTGGCTCAGGGGCGGTCTTGATCAGGCTGAATCTTAAAGGAAAAAGAAGAGTTGGCCAGACCAAGAGTGTAGGAACGAGCATAGCCCAGGAAGGGAAAGGCATGCGAGGCTCTGCGGGGAACCACAGGGCTCTTTGGGAGCCACACATGGTTCTCTGTGGTTGGAGTTGGGGAGTCCCGGGGGTGTGGCCTGGAACGAGGCCAGGTAGGTACAGAAGGTCCCATGCAGAGGCTCTACCTGAGGGCAGTGCAGGTCCTTGAAGGGTTTTAAAAGGAAAAGAGCCTGATCAAATTCACACTTCGGGAAGATTGTTCTGAGAGCAGAGTGGAGGATGGTTTGTGGGAGAAAGACTTGAGGCAGAGTTGATTTAGACTCGCCCTCTGCCCTCTGCGCCCCTCCCCCACCCCGCGCCTGCGCATGCTCGCTGGCGTGCTCTCTCTCTCTCTCTCTCTCTCTCTCTCTCTCAAATAAAAAAATCTTTCAATACAGACACATTTAATCCACATGAAAACACTAGGTGCTTCAGTAGCCCCATTTTACAGATGATGGAACTGAGGCCCGTGAGACTGAGTAACTCGCCCAAGGTCTGCAGTCCAGCTCCGAAATCCATAGCTCTCCCCCATGTATTGCAGTAGTTCAGGCAAGAGAGAATAAAGTGTTGCCTAACACTGTCCTTGAAGATGGCAAGGGGCAGATAATCAAGAGAGATGCTAAGAGATAGCCTCATGCGAGGGGCCTGCCAGGGGCAGGCTGTTTCCTGTAGGCTGGTAGCCCAGCTAGGAAGGTGGGGTCAGAATTCGAGGGACAAGCTTTCTACCTGCTGCACCTTGTGGGACCTACTTGCAGCACCTGTGGGACCTCAGGGGAAACGTCAACAGGCTGCACGAGGCTCAAGCTGCACAAGGAGTTTGCGCTGCAAAGAGAAGTTTGGAGGGAAACGGGGCACGGAAGGTGTGGGAGACCCCAGCACTTATGGGGTGGGGGCTGAAGCCCGGGGAGCAGATGGGCTGGCCTGGGGAGGGCAGGGAAAGAAGAGGACCTGCATTGGTCCTCTCCTCTGGATGTTCCCCAGGGAACATCCAGATTTGAGGAATGAATGGAGAACTAAAGCCACAAAATGAGACCAAGGTTCAGGAGAAATAGGAAGAGAATGAGGTCAGTGGGATTAAATACTGCAGAGGTCAAATGAGACTTGAACAATAACCATTCCCCCATAAATACAGTTACGAGGCATACAGCAGGCTGGGAGAAAACATCTTAACATAATTGACAAATGTGAGATAGTATGAGTAGATAGGTAACTAACAGACCCTTTTATGAATTGCCAATGGGAGAATAAATTGATAGGGTCTTTTCTTTTTTTCTTTTTTATTTTTTTTTTATTTTAAGATTTTATTATTTATTTGCTAGAGAGAGAGACAGAGAGAGAGCACAAGCAGGGGGAGTGGGAGAGGGAGAAGCAGGCCTCCCGCCGAGCAGAGAGCCCAATGCAGGGCTTGATCCCAGGACCCTGGGATCATGACCTGAGCTGAAGGCAGATGCTTAACCACTGAGCCACCCAGGTGCCCCAATACAGTCTTTTCGTATGGAAGCATAGTGGATACACAATGTTATATTAATTTCAGGTGTATAGCACAGTGACCGGACAGTTCCGTACACTACGCCACCACAATACATGTAGTCACCATTAGCAGATACAGCCTTATCAAAATTTAAATCGGCACCGATATGACCCAGCAAAATTACACTTAAGCCACACAAACCATCATACAAATTCCCGGAGATGTACACCCAAAGATGCTAGTAGCAAGACTTAAATATTCATCCACAAGGCAATTATCGGATCGATCATGATACATCCGCCCCGTGGACTAGTATGTTGTCAGGGAAAAAAGAAAGGTGGACCTACGTGCAGCCCAGCATGGTGAAGTGCAGAATGACATCATCAGTTCCATATCATTTGTTTTCGGAAGAAGAAGGAAAGCATGTCCATACGTGCATGTGTGGAAAAGTCTGGAAAGATGGACACAAGATCTGTGTGAATCTAAGGACAGAAAGGAGTCCTTCCACTTCGACTTCAGATCCTTTGGTGGTTCCTCTATTCTTTACAGTATGCAGGCTTTGTTGTTATAACCGTAAAACTGCTTTATTTAAGAAATGGGTGTGCTCGCTTCAGCAGCAGATATATTTAAGAAAGGGGCTTATTGGACGTCGTGGCCTGAGGTTGTTGGTAGTGTTGGCAAGAGCTGTTTCAGCAGAGGGATGGGAAGGGAGCTAGCAGCAGTGGGCTGAGCAGTGAAGGAGAGGAGGCGAGGGGGAAGTAGCCACTTTCTCTAGAAGTCCACCGTGAGCAGAGCGCTGGGGGCACAGTAGCTGGAGGGGTCCTACGACAGAGGGCGGGTGACAGAGACATGAGCAAACTCAAGGAAAGAGATGGCGGATGGGGCAGAAGGGCCAGGAGGCAGACCCCTCAAGGACGCGAGAGGCAGGGTGTCCCACAGCCGGGGCAGGAATTCACCGGAAAGAGAAGAAGGGATGCTTCTCACACTGACCCTAGAAGGAAGGAAGAAAGTGTGTAACAAGTGCAGGCAAGTCTGTTCACCAAGGGCTGGGGTTGCCTGCATCTTCCTTGTAAAGAAGGACGTGCAGGTTGGAAACGCTCAGAGACAGCCTGAGCAGGCTGTCTCTCCTCAGCCTGGCAGGCTCCTCCAGAAAGCCTCAGACAAGTAGGTGTGAAAATCCCCAGTGCTCACCACAGAATCTCCAGGCAGATCTCTGGCCTGGAGTCAGAGTCCTAGGACCAACCTCATTGCTCCTCTGAGGGGACGCCTCCCCCTGGTGGGCCTCCTGGAATTCACCCTGGTGACCCCAGGTCAGACGTTTCCCTCTAAAGCTGCTTCACTTTTTTTTCCTGCCAAACAGTGCTGACTGCTCCAAAGCCCCTAGCCACGGAGGAGATCAGGAGCCACTCCTACGACGACAGCAACTGTCGTGGCAAAGAGCAGGTAAGTGAGCTGTTCCGAGCGACGGCCGTCGGGGACTCGTGTCTGGTGGAACTTCACACTCCTCTCTGAGTCCTCTGAGAATTGGTGGGTCGGACTGCAGGAGCAGGAACATAGAGCTAAAGAGAAATACATCTTCACCTGGACAGTGTGGCCCAAAAGAACTTTCTGCAGTCCCCGGGGTGTTCTATATCAGCACTGTCCAATATGGTAGCCACTTGTCACGTGCGAGCCTTGAACCCTTGAAAGGCGGCCGGTATGGCTAAGGAACTACATTTTTCGTTCTCTTTCAACTCAATTTCAGTAGCTATGGTTATCCAGTGGCTATCGTGCTGGACAGTACAGATCGAGAACGATCGCCTCATTTTCCAGCAGACTGCATCAAGGCTCAGCGAGAATTGACTCGTCCGAGTTCATCTTGACCACCAGCAAAGAATCAGCCCATTCTACTCACCCCACCATCCACGTGCAGGTGCCAGACCAACCTAATGAATATTAAGAAGCGGGCCGGTGGGGGGGGCGGATGTCAAATCTGGGCTCCTCTTTCAACACCTTTTTATTCCGTTGTCTGGGACTGAAAGGTTCCTAACCGAGCTCAGAAAGCTGAAACTAGGCTCCAGCCCCTTGTTACAGTGGACAGAATACAGAGTTTGAGGTCAGGTAAAAACATTTCTTAAAAACTGTTTAAACGCCAGTTCCCTGTGTCACTCTGATGAGGTTGCTTAACTCCCAGTGTCTGGTTTCCTCATTCAGAAAGTGCACACTTCACGCCTTTGTTATGAGGATTAAATATGTACCAATTCTTTTTGTTCAAGATCGTATTTTTTTTTAAGTTTTTTTTTTATCTGACAGACAGAGATCACAAGTAGGCAGAGAGGCAGGCAGAGACAGAGAGAGGAGGAAGCAGGCTCCCCACTGAGCAGAGAGCCCCATTTGGGGCTCGATTCCAGGACCCTGGGATCATGACCTGAGCCGAAGGCAGAGGCTTAACCCACTGAGCCACCCAGGCGCCCCATCAAGATCATATTTTTAACTGATCTCTATACCCAGGGTGGGGCTCCAGACCCCAAGATCAAGAGATTTTGTTGCGTGCTCCCTGGTCTGAGCCAGCCAAGTGCCCCTCAATGCACAAGTTCCGAAAAGCACTTTTCCCAGAAGCTGGACCTTAGCAGGGACCCAACACTAGAGCTCACGTGACTCTTGTTATCCAGGCCAGAGCCGATGGGGCTGTACATCAAAGTCTGCCCGGAAAGCAGACCCACTGCTTTTCCTTCCCTGGGGGAGTGTACTGGGACAGACAGTCACGGCACTAGTTGATAAACTGTTCCAGAGACGAAGATTGCCCTAACAAACGCTAATATCAGGCTTGCTGTATGTCTTAAGTGCTTTACAGGTAATCCCTCATTTGAGTCTCAGCACAGCCCAGCGGGTTAGATGCTATTACTGGCCTCAATTTACAGATGAGTAAACCAAGACTCGGAAAGGGCAAGTCACTGGCCCCGAGTTGCTGGGCTCACTCAGTCTCTAACCACTGCCTTCCTGTGCATCTCTCCGTGTATAACAAGCCTCTGCCTGGTTTTAGCATCACTGGGCCAGGAGTCACTGCATTCTTCTCCAGTATGGGAAAGAGAGAAGTGACAAAGAATGTTTGCTAAACAGTTGGGACTCGAAGATTCTTTCCTAGGGGTAAGCAAGTTTGTTGCAGGCTTCGAGCGCTCCGCGGGTCCTGGGATGCGGGGACAAGAGTATAGTGGAGGGGCTGGAGGCACGGTTTGCTGGGGGGAGGGGGAGCTTGGGAGGGAGCCGTGAATCAGTGTTCACTGTTCTGCCTGTATTTATCCTTTCCACGGTAATTAATAACAAATGTACATTCTCAGTGTCACTCAACTCTGCTTTCGAAAATGTGTTTGGACTTGGATAAGATGTGAATTTTTCCCAAAAGCCTTTCTTTCCAAATGAGATGGTCTTGGCTCCAAAAGTGGCCAGCCACACACACCCAATCCCAAGTGTACAGGCCAAGAAAGGGCTCTGGGGGTGCATTGGGTGGGGACAGGAGGCATTAGGTCCAGGATCACCAGAAGCTCAAGTTCCATCTTTCTCATCTTCATGAGCTGCTCTTCTTTGAGATGGGAGAACGGTTCAAGAGCAGGAGGGCTGGGGACTCCCGAACAGGGGGCAGCCCGAGGCAGCTAGGGTATGGGGACAGTCAGACAAGGCTGCTGAAAGAGCCAGGGTCTGCTGAGACCAGGGCAAAGATGAGAGAAATCCATGCCGTCCTGGGCAAACCGGTGCCTTTGCATGGGCCTCAGTTTGCTCCTCTGTGAAATGGAAAGATTGGCTAGAAAACACCACAGGTCCCTTGCCGATACGAAACTCTACCAGGTCAGAAAATAACTCGCGATCCAAGAGCTGACCTGAGAATTAATTATTCAAGTTATCAAAAGCATCCAGCAGTCTGAGGACTCCACCCTCGAGTTGAGCAATGTAATCCACCGCTCACTTCCTCCACTCTCTTCTCACCACCACCGCCCTGTCAGTCAGACACATCTGCCCTCCTGGACGGGTCCCACAGGTGAAAGGCCCAGACTCCTGGTAAGTCTTGGAACACCCCTTTTCTCACCTTCCAGAATGTCTCTGTTCTCTGACCCCCTTGACACCCAGCCCCCAATGACCCCAGACATCTCTCCCCACCCCGGGGTGGGCTTCTTTCCTCTTAAGGCCTCCCTAGATTCCCCAAAGGGAGAGCTCCTGCCCCTCTTCCTTACTCCTCTCTCCAACAACCACTTAGGGCAACTCTCTGCCCAGCCGCTTCCCTTCCTGACTCAGCCAGCTCCCCTGCTTTGACTAGGATTGGGTCCAAGGAAGGGCCAGACATCATCCAGCCCCCCTTCCCCTATATTAAATGCAAATATTGTGGATTATATTTATAGAGAGAAAGCATACTAGAATTGTATTAAAATTCCTGAATTTTCTATTGTGATTGAAAAGATTGCCTTCAATGTTTGGGATCTTGTATGTCTCCATTGTTTAGCATTTTTATAAAATGAATTAAAATCATCCCATCCATGGAGTTTCTGAATGACCGTGAGTCATTAGTGTCCTGCCATTTCACTCAATGAGGGAATCTCCCGCTTGTTCACTGAGAACATGACCAGGAGGTCGGTGGGAGTCAGCCAGTTTAAGGGTGTTTTGTTTATCATTCTTGCAAGGACTATTTCTTTCGTTCTGGCCCTACTGAATAGATAAGAAAACAATGCACAAAATATCAAACAATAGGAGTAAACTGTATGCAGTCTGACTTCATGAGATCTTGAAAACTTAACTTACAAATATATTTCAAAAATATTTAATATAGGAGGTATGATATTTTTTTTTTTTTTTTGGTAATAAAGCAGGTCTGTAGACTGTAAGTTAATCCACACCTACATAGAATCCAGGCTGCAGCATTTGTAGGCTCTGTGACCATGGGCTGATGTCTGAGCCCCTTTGTGCCTGTCTTCTCATCTGTAGTCAGGGCCCCTCTGTGCCTGTCTTCTCATCTGTAGTCAGGACTAATCATATCTATCCGTAACACTCCAGGGAAGTCGTGTACCCCCGAGGCACAAAGCAGACCTCAGACAGGTCAACTCCCTTCCCTTAGTTTCTCCCTTTGACTGTCAACACATCCTCCCTAGAGACTGGTAAACTGAAAAATCCACAAGCATCCACAAAGCATTGTCCCCCCAGTGGCTGGAGGTCACTGCCCTGTCCCGCTTCTCTTGCCTGAATTCTCCACCTCCTGTCCTGACTTTCAGGGTCTCCCTCTGGACCCTCAAGCAGATCTTTCATGTCTGGGAGTAGGAGCGCCCCTGTGTATCTCCAGCCCCTCCCCCACACAGCTGAGCACTGGCTTATTTAGAATGAGGACTTACCAGTGAAGTATGCTTGGCTGCTGTTACCTCCTGATGGGGCAGTTTCTGCTTCCACCCTGGCCCTGCCTTCTCACAGTCAGTGTTCCTAAATACGGGCCTCTCCTCTATGGGCACAAGCTCTCTGTCCCATTATGCTCTGCTAAAAGTGGGCCTTCTCTAGGTCATTTCTTCCCTTGAGAGCATCTCTGATCATCTGTTCCCAGAGGTGACCCATTCTTGACCTTGTGACTTCATTGGACATAACCCTGGGATAAACATCCTCTTGACCGTGGGATGGCAGAACTAGTGACTTGTCACAGGTCTCGCCAACAACACTGGCTGAGTTGTATGGTGGCCTTTCCCCTTATTACCTTATCTCCCTGGCTAGACATTCCCCAAACGCATCAGATCTTTCTAGGTTCACAGACTGAGTCTGCTCTATGGTCTCCGTGGGTTGAGAAGCTGATTTAACTGGCCACCGTCACCTAGACTAAGAATTCCGTCACTCCAGGGGAAAGGGCATTGCTTTTCCAGTTTCTCTTAGCCCTATTCGGCTTTCTTCTTTGCTATATATGATTGAGAGTGACAGACCTCCCTCTGCTAAAGAGAAAAGCTTCTCGAGAGTTTCATTGTTGATGTGGTTGTTTTACTATCTGTGTTTGCTTCTCAAAGGTGTCCCCCTTTGGTTAATTTTTTTCTAATTAAGATGGAATTCGCACTCTGTAAGAGTCACCCATTCACAGGGTACAACTAGTGGTACAACACAGGGTGCATGAAGCTATACAATCCTCCCACTGTCTAATTCCTGAACACTTTCAACAGCCTGGAAAGAAACCCCTCCCTCCAGCACCTAGCAACCCAGATCTACCTTCTGTCTCTACTGATTTGCCTCTCCTGTACATTTCACATACATGGACTCGTTCAGTATGAAGCCTTTTATGTCTGGCTTTTTTTTTTTTTTTTTTGGCCTGGAATAATGTTTTCATGGTTCATCCACATCGCAGCAGATGTCAGTCCTTTATTCCTGTCGTTGGTTGGATAACAGCCTATGGTCTGTGTGCACCTCCGTTAGTTTCTCCATTTATCGGTTGATGCACATTTGAATTGTTCCCACTGTTTGGCTGTCACGCTGCTGTGAACATTTGTGTACAAGTTTTTGTGGGGACATAGGTTTTCCATTCTCTTGGGCATGTATCTAGAAGTGAAATTGCTGGGTCATTGGTAACTATGTTCGACATTTTGAACAACTGCCAAACTGTTCAAAGCAGCCACTCCACTGGCGCATCTCCACGAGCAATATATGAAGGGTCCCATTCCCCACATCCTCGTCAACAGCGTTACTGTCCCTCTTGTTTTATGATGATGATCCTATAGAGTATTGAAATAATTCTGGAGCCTTAGTACTTTGTGTTTTTCTCTATAACGCTGGTTCCATTTTGAGGTGGGTTACCTCCTTGCATATGGTCCCAAGACGGTCATACCTTGTCATAAAGAAATGGCACAGTACTGATGCATCTTGTGGTTCACAAGGAACTCACTTGGGAGCTGGTTTACTTTCATTTACATCCTCTTTGAAAACTGAGTAAAATTTCAGAGTGACTGCAGCTTCCCCCAAAAGCAGGCTTTGGGCTATCCCCAAAACAAGGGCGGAGCCAACAGAAGCGGGTTTACCTGGACTTCGTCTGGAGGTGCTGGGGAGTCAGGGATGGATGAAGGCACTCACTGGCAGGACAGAGAGTGTCCCCACCAGAATGGAAAAGCCACCAAAACAAGGATAGTGTATCTCCACCCGTCTGCACCTCCTGATAGGGCACAGGTGCCACTGCCTGCACCTGTCTCAACCTGTCTTCTCTGCTTCCCACTGCCTCTCCCATTGCTGGGAGCACTCTGGATTTCTCTGCTCACCTCCACGTGGCAGTCCACGGCTGTGACAGTCTGTCACATTTCACCCGCTTAGAGAATCAGTCAGCCACCCGCTTAGGATTTTTAATATACTTTTTTCAAACTGCACAAATATTCCCACAGCAGGTCTCCTGCATCCTGAAAGAAAAATGTTGGGCTGTAAATAAGCTTTCTTCTAGGGGCACCTGGGTGGCTCAGTGGGTTAAAGCCTCTGCCTTCAGCTCAGGTCATGATCTCAGAGTCCTGGGATCGAGCCCCACATCCGGCTCTCTGTTCAGCAGGGAGCCTGCTTCCCCCTCTCTCTCTGCCTGCCTCTCTGCCTACTTGTGATCTCTCTCTCTGTCAAATAAATAAATAAAATCTTTAAAAAAATAAGCTTTCTTCTAGGTCCAGTATCCTGCAGCTGTATTGCTGTTACCACTAAATCTATTTTCCCACAAACTTCTTTTAATGACTTCCCAAAAGTGGGACAGAGAGGCTCCTCCCTCAGCTTTCTAGTCAAACCTCCATCTCTCTCTAGCGGTCAAACCCAGTGGGATCACCTGCTTCATCCCCCACATCAAAAACTGAATGGCACCTCCTATTTCTGACATTAAATCCAGCTTCATTAGCCAGAGAGGCTCACCACTGAAGAATCTGAGACATGTTCTGTAGGGACTGGGATTTCAACAATGTTTTGGGTGACCTCTTTGGCTTTGAGGGAACTATACGTTTTGTGCAACGTGCCATTTATCACAAAATGTGGCTCATAACATAGAGCCACAACTATTTCCTAATGTGAAGGTTGCTTCCGTGTAATATACAAGCCAAGGCAAAGAATCCTGTCCGAGATTCATGGGCAAATAGGCTAGAATCTGGGGAGAGATTATTGTGCAGTAACTCCCATCTCTCTTCTCTAGGCCAGGACTTAAGTTTGCCTCCAATATGGAAGACATGGACTGGGAGGCTTATGGCTTGGAAGATCTCTTTGGTGAAAATTACAGTTACAGCACAGAACTGCCCTTCATTCCAGAAGGCTCTGCCCCATGCAGGCCAGAATCTCTGGAAATCAACAAGTATGCAGTGGTGGTCATCTACGCCCTGGTCTTCGTGCTGAGCCTGCTGGGAAACTCCCTAGTGATACTGGTTGTCCTGTACAGTCGGCTCAGCCAGTCTGTCACCGACGTCTACCTGCTGAACTTGGCCATAGCCGACCTGCTCTTCGCCCTGACCTTGCCTATCTGGGCTGCCTCCAAGGCGAAAGGCTGGATCTTTGGCACACCCCTGTGCAAGGTGGTCTCGCTCCTGAAGGAAGTCAACTTCTACAGTGGTATCCTACTGCTGGCCTGCATCAGCATGGACCGCTACCTGGCCATCGTCCATGCCACACGCACGCTGACCCAGAAGCGGCACTGGGTCAAGTTCATATGCTTAGGCATCTGGGCACTGTCCCTGATCCTGTCCCTGCCCATCTTCGTCTTCCGCAGGGCCATCAATCCCCCCTACTCCAGCCCGGTCTGCTACGAGGACATGGGCGTCAATACCACAAGACTGCGGATAGTGATGCGGGCCCTGCCCCAGACCTTCGGCTTCCTCGTGCCCTTGGCGGTCATGCTGTTCTGCTATGGACTCACCCTGCGTACGCTGTTCCAGGCCCACATGGGGCAGAAGCACCGGGCCATGCGGGTCATCTTTGCCGTCGTGCTCGTCTTCCTGCTCTGCTGGCTGCCCTACAACCTGGTCCTGGTGGCAGACACCCTCATGAGGCTCCGGGCGATCGAGGAGACGTGCGAGCGCCGCAACGACATCGGCCGGGCCCTGGATGCCACCGAGATTCTGGGCTTCCTCCACAGCTGCCTCAATCCCTTCATCTACGCCTTCATCGGCCAGAAGTTTCGCCACGGACTCCTCAAGATCATGGCCTTCCACGGGCTCATCAGCAAGGAGTATTTGTCCAAGGATGGCAGGCCTTCCTTTGTTGGCTCTTCTTCAGCAAACACTTCTACCACTTTCTGAGCCCCTGGGCCCTGCTGGAGCGCCTCGGGGCACCTCCCTCACCGTCAGCATCCCATCCCGAGCCTCATGTCCACTGGTTGTTTCCAGTCTGTGTGTCAAGCCAGCTCCTGGTTGTGGTTACTGGGGCCACGTCCTTTTCAGGCCCATTGGAGGGTTTAGAAAGCCTGCCCTCGTTCCCCACGCCTCCCTATACTTACTATGCCAGCTGCTAGAGCTCAGTCCATCCTCGCACTGAGCCCACAGCACTCTGTTCTCTGGGGCAGTTAAAGACATTCGAAAGGCATCCTTTCAGGTGACGACAGAAAGTTCCTACCACGGGGAGCCGTTCGTGGCTAACAGCAGTCGTTGCTTTCCCGACTCTCCCTTTCTTGCTTGCTGGCAAAGCCCACCCCCCTTGACGGAGGCCGAGGACAGACACTCACTTTACAAGACTCCCTTAGATAGGAGTGGCCCTGTCATCCACGTCTGACTAGTAAGGTTTCAGGGCAATAGTGTGCTGGTGAACCACTCTCCTGGGGGAAAGAAGTCCAGGTTTGTAGCATTTACCAAGTTACCTGGGGCAAATGCTCCCGCCACGGCGATGTCAAAGGTTTTCATGTGTTTAGCAACTAGCTCACAAAAATTTAGGAAATGTAATGGGCTGCTTTCACAAGCAGGTACAAACTGGCTTCAGGACACCGTAGCTTAAGAGGAAGTTTGCTGGGTCCAGGGACTCCTGGGAAGTATTCCTGATTTAAAAAGAGAGAGACACACACACACACACACACACACACACACACATATCCTTGGTTCTTGCCTTTGACTATGGTTGTGGGATATGATGTGACAAAGAGGCAAAAATTGTGCTCAACACACTTAGGCAGATGGAGTGGATGAGAACAAAGAGCCCAGAAGGAGACCCAAGCATAAATGGTCAATGATTTTCGACAAGGGTTACCAAGAATATTCAATGGGAGAAAGGATAGTTATTCAACACATGGTGCTGGGCAAACCAGTTATCCACATGCACAGGAATGAACTTAGTCCCTTTCCTCCTACCATATACAAAAGTTAACTCAAAATGGATCAAAACCTACACAGGAGAGCTTCAACTACTAAATGCTTAGTAGAAACGTAGAAGAAAAGTTTCATAACATTGGATTTGGCAATGATTCCTTGGATATGACACCAAAAGCACAGGCAGGAAATGAATAAATAGATAATTGGATTTTCCCAATATTAAAAACTTTGCATATCAAAGGACACGATCAAGAGAGTGGAAAGGAAAATCATAGGATGGGAGAAAATATTTTTGAATCAAATTTTATGCAGTTTACTCTCCACGATACACAAATAATTCTTACAATTCAACAGCAATGACAACAACAACAAAGACAGATAATAGCAAGTGTCAGCAACGATATGGAAAAACTGGTGGGACCCTTGTGCACCATTGGTGGAAAAGTAAAATGGTGCAGCTGCCATGGAAAACAGCACCTCAAAAGATGAAACAGAATTATTGTATGATCTAGCACTTCCCTGTCTAAGTGTACACTGAAAGCAGTGAACTGAGAGCAGAGACTCAAACAGATGTTTGTACACTAATGTTCATGGCAGCACCATTCACAGTTGCCAAAAAGTGACAATCACGCAATGTCAATCAGTGGCTGATGGACAAAAAAATGTGGGGTGTACATCCAATGGAATAGGGTTCAGCCTTAAAAATGAATGAGTCTCTGGGATACGCTACAACAGGGACGAACCCTGAAAACATGATATGAAGTGGAAGAAGCCAGGCAAAAATAGCGTATGATTCCACTTTTTCGAAGTACCTACAATAGTCAAGCTCATAGAGATAAGAAGTCCAACAGTGGTTATCAGGGCCAGGCAGAGGAGAAAATAGGAAGTAGTTGTTTAATGGGTACACAGTTCAGTTGGGGGTGATGAAAAGTTTCTGGAGATGGATAGTGGTGATAGTGGTAGGACAGTGGGAATGTGCTTAATCCCACTAAACAGTACACTTAAAACTGGTAAAAAAAAAAAAATGGTCAATTTTATGTTGTGTGTATCTTATTGGAAAGGAAAAAAAAACAACAACTAGTTCCCAAACGACAAATTTCAGCAATTGAACCATTTGTGGTACCATCTACCTGTAACTTCTTGTTCAAATAGATAATTAAATGTCTTTTTTTCTTTGTACATGCCACTTAGAGTGTATTTCATTACTTGTGTTCAAAAGCATCTGAACTGCTACAGAGAAGTCAGGCAAGGGTGGGCAGAAGTCCTGAATGTAGATTTATTTACAATAATTAAATCCCTTCTCTGCTTATTGGGTGCACAGGGAGAGATAAGTATTGAAATCGAGAGAGAACCCAGCCTTTCTACCTCCTTCACTCCCAGCCCAAATCTGTGGCCGCTGGACATGTGTCATGGAAGGAGGTGTGTCCCAGGATCACAAAGTGTTTCTTGTGTCTTTGGGTGAAACCAGAGTCCTGAGTGCCAAGGGTCAGTGTGTTTTACCAAATCAGCAGGATTGGGGAGCAGAAAGCTAGACAGCTCTGCTGAGCTCAACCAGCCACCCCTACTTTGAGTCTCCACTCTCTTCTCTCTCCCACTCAAAACACACTCACACACACACACACACACACACACACACACACACACACATGCCCGACATGCAGGACCATCAAAAGCACACCTTGCAGAATAGGGACATGGTATCCAGGCAAAACCAAGGATCTGCCTTGGTTGGGCAGTATTTCCTGAAGACCTGCCATCCCACGGCTCTGGGACATGGCAGAGCCTTACCCTGGCAGAGCTCCCGTTCACAGGCCTCGTCCCTGCGGGGGCTTTGGCAGGAGGGGTTTGGACTCAGAGCAGCCCTCTAAGAAAGTAGGACGGCAAGGGGAGTCTGACGGCACAGTCCCCAAACTTCACCAGGCTCTGATCCCCTTCCTGTTAACAATTCTCCAACCACTAAATCAAAGAGACAGCAGCTGTGGCTCTGACCAAAGACCTCTCCAGGGAGGCAGGAGCAAACCTCTGAGCTGGGGTGCTCAAGGGACAGGTAACCACCAGTCCTGACTCATGAAAGTACAAACAGGATTAATCCAGCCCTGATAATCCCTTGTCTTGAGCTCATTGTTTGCCAGGCACTGTGCTAAGCTCAGGTTCAAGCTTGACTGAGCTGCTCTGGCCAAGCCTTCCAAACAGCTTCTGATTCAGCAGACCAACGTGTGTTAACTGGAGGGAACACCCCAGTTGCCAGAGGGACTGGGGGTGTTCTGACCTGGCAGGGCTGATGGGCCAAATGGCTCCCTGAGATCACTGTCAGTGGGAGGAGGCCAGACCAAGTTTCTCTCTGGTTCTGGGGCTCTGCTCTTTGCTCCTCTAATAAGCGCTAGAGGAAGCATGGTTCTTGAGGGAAATAAGGGGATAAAATAAGCCTAGGAGCTGCACTTGTGTAAACTATTACTATGTCTCTCTCTCTCTCTTCCTCCCTCCCTCCCTTCTTCTCCCACATAAAGACAGTTTTGGCACAAAAAAACCTACCAACCAAGACATCACTGGGAGGAGGCAAATCCAAGGTCTGTCTTCGAGTTGTTGATTTCCTTCTTCCCTCCGATGTTTCCAGGCCTAAGTCCCACTGTCAGAGCCCAGCTCTGTTCTGCCTAGATCTGCCTGCTCAGTCTGAGCCTGCCCTTCTGGCTTCTGAGATACATCCCCCTACTTACATGAACACCCCCCATCTTGTTTCTCCGTTTCCCCAGTTTATGACATCTTCCTCGACTCAGTCCCTCCCCATTGCAGGAATGGGCTCCCTTTGCTCATGAAATCGGGTTAGCCTCCTGTGTCTCCTGGGTGACATAAAGATGTACCCCCCAGGAGGGGCATGTCACATTGACGTTCATCCCGTGTTGACCGATGTGGAAAATGGCCACCCTGCCCTGGCAGAGCCAGAGGAGACCTAGAGCACCCTCCCGGGGCCAACCATTGCAATACGCAAGTGGGGAAACTAAGGCCTAAGCAAGCAGCTCAATCAAGATCTCATGGCTGGGTAAGAGTAGAGCTGGAATAAAAATGCCTAGTGCGGTTCATATTTCCAGATATTTAGCTTTTCTAGTGGTGACCCCTCAGGCACCTTACAAATAGAGAGAAAAATACGAAAATGAACTTCCCAGAGTGTTCCACTCATATTGGTAGGGCTGGCCACTTCTTCAGAGCCTACACTCATCTGATAGAGTCAAGAGGCAACTGAGGCTTGGGGCCCAGGTTGGGAGCAGGCTCAGATGGAGTTACCCTATTCTGAGCTGGTAGGTAAGACGGTTAAAGAGACCATCGGATGGGGTTCCTGGGTGGCTCAGTCAGTTGAGTGTCCAACTCCTGATTTCAGCTCAAGTCATGCTCTTGGGGACATGGCATTGAGCCCCACAACAGGCTCCACGCTCTTCCTCTCGCTTCTACCCACCCCTCCCCACCACCGCTGACACACCCACACATGTGGGCACTCTCTCTCTAAAAGAAAAGAGACACTTGGAGCCCAACAAAAAATTCAGAGCCAGATAAAACAAGCGTCTGTTGAGGACACGTGCTCTATCATGCAGGGCTCCATTGGAAAGCAGGACCACTCGGGGGAGAGATTAGTTATCAGGATTTGACTGCACACAATTGTGGGAGCTGGCCAAATGGTCTAGGTTGGGCTGTTATCTTTGCTTCTGGTGCTAGAACCTGAAAATGGCAGGACAGAGAGAGCCAAGAAGGAAAGATCCCATGAAGCAGACAACAGGGAGGGCGAGCTGGGACCTGCCAGGACAGACTGAAACCTGCGCCAGTCTATTGTGGACTACAAGTTCAACATGCAGACGGCCTGCGAAAGATGCTGACGCCTGCATCATGAAGGTCAGAAGACACGTGGCTCAGGTTAAGGACCGCAGAGACCAGCATCTGGTGCTTGGTACTGACCTTCCAGAGCATAAAAAAAGAATGCAGCCTCTGCTCCCCTTTCCACCTTCCAAAGCTCACACAACAGTCTCTTCTGGTCCATGTTAACACGAAACTAGGTGAGAAAGGGAGGGAATTTGATGAAACATGAT